TATGAAGATTCTTTTCAGGAAAGAAAACTTTCCAAATTCCATTTGAAACACGGCAGCCACCGGTGGATACCATTGTCCCAAGTGAGATCTTTGTCAGCCACCGGTGGCTGCCATTGTCACGAATGGGTTAAAACCTTACCGTTCTGGCTATGATGTTGGTATAGATCTATTTTTGACCAGTGCGTTTCGAGCACCCAAGGGCTTGCGATTGCTCGTCTTGATGTGGGCATATGTTCAAGACCAACGCTCGTTCCTCACAGGAGCTTGTTTGAAGGAGCTACTGAAGTCCCTTCCTGCAACAAACAGATAGTTTTCCAGTGTTGTCGGTGTGGTTGCTAAACATCCCCGATATAAAGGCCCTCGTGTGTGTTCCAATTTATATTGATTTCATTTTTCTATGCTGGTCTTCGTCTAAATAAACTATGTTGGAGTCGGAGTTATCAACACAGCCGGAAGCAACAGTAGAAAAAGTCCTCGCACAGAGCAGGCATAGCACGTTTTGCATCGATATCTTACATTTGGTCTCGACAAGCGTTGCGGCTTGCACTTCTCACTCTTGCCTCTAACAATCCAGAAAATTTTGGGAAGCAGGCCTATGCAACAATCATGAGTGGTGAAACTTTTGTTGTTCCGAAATATACATATTTTCAAATCAAAAATGCATCGATTTCTTGCATGGACATGTTTTCTTTTGATTTATTCTATTCGGGTACAATCTCAATTCTAATTTTTTTAAATAAAAATAGACGGCTTGTGATAGATTTTTCCTTCTCAAAGCTTCTGTCATATCTTTTAACACATTCACGACGACGCCCCTTTTCCACTTTTCGGTCGCGTGGGACGGACGCGATTTTGTGGGCGCCGCCGCCTCACCACATAACCGCAGATTTTGTTTTGTAAATGAACAAAAACATGAATGTCACAAAATAATTTCTGCAATGTCCAATGCGTAAAGATTATCACTTCATTATATAAAGCAGAAGTTTGGTGTGTCGGTTTGTTTGTGTGTATGTATGTACGTGTCTGTCCGTCCGCAAAATGAAGTGAGTGATAAGGCAAATGGCTGGTTGTGATAACACTCCAACGGCTACATAAATATCTAGTTAGCACACTTCGGTCATTCCACAAGGTGCTGAAGTGGCAGCTGGAGGGCAATGGAGGGAGGAGGGAGGATAAGACGAGGAGGAGGAACGCCACCCACATAGGGAGGAAGTTCCGGCAGTTGCCGGGGGACCAATCTGGTCCAAACATATAACAGTAGGATTTCGATCAGAACGACAAATAGTGGTTACGAAAAGAGAGCATTCATTCACTTTCCCCGTGAAGGAATTTAAAAGCATTTTTACACTCGATTACGAGGTTTGCTCACCTATCTGTCCATTCCTAGCCGCCTGACAGATTGACAGCCCATATGGCTGCCATCGTGCCAGACTGCATTTTTTGCCCGCCATACGGGCGCCATGCGAGTGCAATGCTTGAAAACCAACATAAAGAACCTACACAGAAAAAAACCACTTCTGACACTCTTGTACGTCGACTGATATGTGGAGTGTCGAATTTCGTGAACCATGGCAGGAATTATTCTTTTGGAATGTCTATTTACTATCCTTCTATTTTATAAAGCGCTAACTTTGTGTGTCGGTTTGTGTGTCTGTATGTGTATGTATGTGTGTCCGTCCGCAAAATGAAGTGAGTGAGAAGGAAGCTCATGGGATAAACAAACCGCTAACAAATCGGGTAGCTTACAGGATTTGAGATATCAATGTTTTGTAGCAGGATAGTTGTGATAACACTCTTAGGGCTATATAAACACCTGCTTAGCACACTTCCGTTCATTCCACATGGTGCTGCAGTGGCAGCTGGAGGGCAGTGGAGAGAGGAAGGGAGGATGAGGAAGGGAAGCGAAAAATCTACCGTCATATCATGATTGTGTCCCTTCTACTGTATGAAACACCATTGTGTTGCATACGCGTCACTTCCAGGAGGTGTTGGTGTCACAGGAGGAAGGGACCATAGCGGAGGATAGAAAGCTTGCGCAGGAAAGGAAGGTCCCGGCGGTTGACGGGGGACTAATCTGGTTATATCATACCGAATGCAATCTTGTTTTTCTCCTTGCGAAAAAAAGATCGAATTGTGCTCTCCGCAATGCTCATAACATAGCTATCAGTTGTCCAACAGTGATGCGGGGGTCCACTCTTCAAACAATCATCTATCGGCTCAGACAGCATTTTTGGCCATTAGAAAAAACCCTTTGGCAATCACCTCTTACTAACAAAATCAATTGAACTAACATACGTATATGCAACTTAAAATGAAGTTTGGAAGCGCGGAATCGTTGAACGCCTTTTCTACCCTGCGTCGATTTCAATATCTCCAGCTCGACGCAGAAGCGAAATTGCTGGAACGTGAGCGTGAGGGGAGATCCTGTGTAAAGCCGAAGCTCGATAGCCCAATGGTCGCATTCTCGGCGTGTCGTATTTTGCTACATGCGGCTGAGCTCATTTGAGAACCAATTCCTTTGCACTCTTCTGGCCACAGACCTTGCTGTTCCCGGTGCATCACGTCGGTGTGCTGAGTAGGCAGTGGTGCTTTGTTGGATTCTCCGTCTCGCTGTGATCGCTCGCTTTGTGATGACCCCGAGTCCACTAGTTTGCGTGGTCTGGCGCTGGTCCTCACCCTGTGGAAGTTCTGCTTAGGCAAATGGTTTAGAGATTCATCGCAGCCGTTAAGAAATTTGTTTCCTCTTGTCTGAAAGGATCCATTTTTGTCGAGAATGGCATAGCGTTCCGAATCGTGGCCGATTTTTTCAAGTAGAACGAACTAAAATGAGACTCCCGATTGCGATCCTGTGCTGCAGCTTCAGTTCATCCGGTACCCGCCTTTGCTCACTTCCTACCCTTCCGGTACCGTTCGGCGCTTATACGATTCTTGATATGGTTGCTCGTGATTATGCTGCTCGTAGCGCACTTGAATAATCTATCAGGATTTCCAGAAAATCATCTTCAACGATTGCCATACCATGGATTGGAAATCTACATGTTGCACGCATAGCTTTGGTACCCGGATTGGAAATCTACATGTTGCACGCATAGCTTTGGTACCCGGCTCTGCTTTGGAAAAGTCATGTTTTCCTACGTATTGTACTTCCTATAAATGGATCAGTGTAAAGTGAGCCGGGATGTCTTCGAAACCCTGTGTTTCTGCGCTAGTGAGATCGTCCATCAAATGCTGAGGACGATCTTAATCAGTGGCTGTACGCATTAGAGTATACATTTCATTTCAAAAGGATCTTCAACCTATCAACTTTCACTGATCAGCAGAAATCTGTTATCGCGATAGTGATACGATACTTTGAGAAGATCTAAGGTGAGTAGTTTCAAATCGAACCCGGTGTCGAGCAAAGAGGCTGGTTTGTGAAGCATGCTCTGTGAGCAAGGTGAGTCAACTGCTGCATTTGAGACACTGAACGAGAGTTGATGGGTACGATCTTGTTCTATGGGAACCGATTATATGACGTGCGTTTAACACAAACCATCCAGCTGAGCTGGATACAGTCTGCTGTGTGTACAAACATAATATTACGGTTTGGAATGAGCCATCCTTATCTTGTTATGATCGTGTGCTCCGCCATGCGTTATGAGCACTAAATCTAACTATACAACTTTAGCAATAACTACACGACAACTTTTGATCGTCAGGCAATGTCTTTATTTCTTAGATAAAAAGCCGACAATCAAAACAGAAATAAAATGTGAAGATGTAGAATCAGAAGATGCGCCAGTGACCGAAAGCAAGCAAGAAAACAGTGTTCTGACTACACAAATAAAGTCCGACGTAGAAGACTGTAAACCAGAAGTAGTACCAGAAACGTTGCCAGCAGCATCAGCTCAAACTACTCAAATTCCACTTGCTACAACGACCGAAGGCAATAAGGACATACTCGGAGGAATGCAGGTTTGAGTTCTCTGCTTTTATAAGTGTAAGTGGTACAACATACAGTTAAGAATATAGGAGTTCCTTTGCTGAAATTAACAAAAAAGAAAATAGGGGTCATAATTCTATCACATGGCTGCCAGTTGCTCACACGGTTATCAGAATGAATACCTGGAGCAACGTATGGCTCCTGTTGATACAGAAAAAAGTATGCATTGACCAATTAATAGCAGACTCGCGACGTTTTTTGCATTGACTTGGAATTTTTTTTTCTGTTCTGATAATAGCTCCTCATGAGCTTGACCGACAAACCCCATTGGATTGGCATTGTTTTAGCTTACTCACCCTCACTTCATATGGAGCCAGCAATGCACCGCCGCGGAGGCAGGGAGTTCCATAACCTTCGCTAATCGTGCCTTTGAAGGAAGCGATTACGATAAAGAGGGAGCCCATCGGGGAAGCACCGCACGAATCAGTTACTTGGTTGCCAGGGAAGCGAGATGTGGCGCTCTCACAACCTAAGGTGCGCTGGTTGCTGAGCAGGACTTCGAAAGCGCTCCCCCAAAAGCGATCCGCCCACTAGTTTACTTGTTGATTTGGACGAGCTGCGTGGCCAGCAGCGGCGCAAATTAGCATCTCGATTAAAGCGTTGATTTTGGATATGGTGCCATCAAAGGCATTATGGTGAACTCGTTCATACGCCCAATTTCTGAGCTGTTACCTGTTTATGAGTGAGAACAACGGCCAGGAAAGGAGGTCCCTTTTTGCGTTTCCTTGACGGAATTTTCTGCTTTTTTAGCTACCGGCGTACCATTAAGCACCACCACATCCACACTGAATCCTTCTTGAATTTGTCGTAAGCGCTGCCTTCAAGGGATTTTGTAATGTCGCTATGATTATGGTTTCATTTTTGTTTCGCGGGAGCATTCGATTCCGAGCATCCACATCTTCTGATCTTACCTCGTTATGCGCTTGCAGGGAGGCACCCTATCCAAGAGTTAATAAGCCATAAACTCGTCCAATAACAACAGCTTCTTATATGATCAACCATGAATTATCATAATCGCCGCCTTTATAATATGTAGTACCATACTCATAACAAACAAGGCGTGAAGGCGCCTAAGCATGAATGGTAAGCAAGGGCTTGATGGCTATCAAGTGAGAAAATATCTGCGAACTTTTGTGAAGTTTTATTCTTCAATCAAACACACCGGCATAAATCCAATACGTACCACACCTTTAAACACCCTTTGTTTCGTGCATTTTCGTCGTATTTCACACGAAATGGGGGTGAAGGATTTGAGCTCTAGCCTAGAATTACATAAGAGAGACCATCATGAACCAAAGGTGAAAAGTCCAAACAAAACTAGAGCTCAACTACCTGTTAATTCTCTTGAATGTGGCGCCACCAACCATGCGACATCCCAATATTGAAAAATTGGAGTGACGGGCCACGGATCGTGGTCAAACACCTTCATCTTTTGATAGATTGATTGATTTGTGTAGAACAATTGGAGCTCTTTGAAATTCACTTCTGCGTGTTGCTGGACTAGTCTTCTTGATCACACATGTATATAGTACTAAAAAGCGTATTGCAGGGTTATCAGCCAACTGCCAATACTACCTTTGGCACACTCGGATTGCTTCCTCAAACGATTCCTCCCCTTGTAGCGACTCCTACATTATTTCGTTATGATAATGGCGGCTTTCTTCCTCACGCAATATCTCGGATGGTTCCGAACCAACCGTTCTTCTGCGAGCAACCTACGTTTACGGGTGGTTGCTTCACTGCAGCAGATATCCTGAACACCGCATCAACTCCGATATTCCTGCGGCAATTCCAGCCCGCATTCCAGACTAGAAGAAGAGCGCAGGTGTTCTCATATTACTAAATATAATCGTTTATCAATCGCTTCACTGCTTCAATTAAGGCTGTGAACTGTCATGAAAATTCACAGTGTGTCAACTGTAGAACAACAAACACCTCTTTGTGGAGACGCAATGAACAAGGAGAAGTTGAGTGCAAGTAAGGGAAAGAACGAGCAACGTATATTACCTTCATAGTTTGTACATGCAATTTATGTAGCTTTGCTAAAATGAGGCGTTCTCGTAAAATTTTCACATGCTTGCATTATTTGTACTCAGAAAGGGACTACAGTATGGAACACCTACACGTTAAAGGCATGCTCCGCGATCAGGCGGGCTCGCCTGTTCCATCCAGGGGGTAGTAGGCAGGTGGACAAGTGTTGATGTCGGGCCCCTTTTGCGGCTTGAAAAGTACGCGACAAAGGCGCAAGGAGCTCGTCCAACCCGCAACTCACACCTTCGTCCGCAAGCCCCACCCTTCGCTGTCGGTTCGCCTCTTCTCTATCCCAAGGTGGAATGTGGCTGAAATAGGGGAGGTCTCTGTACGGGGCGTAATCGGTGGTTTCGTTTGCTTTCCTTCTCTTTTACAGACCACCTCCCACCTATAGCTTCATAACTGAACGCTTTTCCACACCTATTTTATCCCGAATCTTGCCTTTAATCATTCAATATTTCTTGATAGCAGCGCTAATCGCTTCGACCCACAAAACAGCCTCCGCAGCGTTACAAAGCTTGCGTGTAAGTGAGACGCAGGAGAAAGCAGAAAAGCGAAAAAAACAGAGATTGCTGGAGGGGCTCTCCAAAACATTCTGCAAAGCACACTGACTCATGTATTTCGCACTTTTACCTTAATATTACCAGTTGGCGCCGCACGCATTGCGCGCGCAACACAGATCTGCGGCGAATTTTGATGGTGCGACGAAAATTTTCAAATTTGGCTTGATACACCACGAATATCTGAATTCTCAGCTAAATTCTATCCGCTCCATCATCGACGGCTTTCAACCTCTTTTTCTTCGTCAACCATTATCCTCTTTTTCCCGGTCTCCGGACTGCTTCCGGACAATAAATCTCGTGGCAAACTCCGCCTACTTCGGTGCGTGCTCCGCCCACCAATAGCATTTGACCTCCTTTCCTTCGCCGACCTCTACTCCCTTTTTCCCAGCCTCCTGGACTTCTTGGAGCCGAGTTATGAATTTTCGTCGCAAACTCCGCCCACTTTGGTCAAGCCCCGCCCACCGATGACAGCTGGCCTCCACTCCTCCACCCACCTCCATCCACCTTTTTCCCGCCTCCGGGACTTCTTGGAGCCGAATTACAATTTCGGCGCAAACTCCGCCCACATTAGCGCACGCTCCACCCAACCGTAGCAGTTAACTTCTCTTTCTTTGCTGACCTATATCCACTTTTTTCCCGTTCTCCAGGACTTCTTGGAACCAAGTTATGAATTTTCCTGGGTAACTCCGCCCACCTAGGACTTGCTCCGCCCACCAATAATATTCTAGCTCTACTACTTCAACCACCCCCATGCACCTTTTTCCCGGTCTCCCGGGCTTCTTGGAATCGAGTTATGAATTTTCGTGATAACTCCGCCCACTTTGAACATGCTCCGCCCACTAATGGTATTTAAGCTCCACTCCTCCACCCACCTCTACCCACCTTTTCCCAGCCTCCGGGACTTCTTGGAGCCGAGTTATGAATTTTCGTCGCAAACTCCGCCCACTTTGGTCAAGCCCCGCCCACCAATGACATTGGCCTCCACTCCTCCACCCACCTCTATCCACCTTTTTCCGGCCTCCGGGACTTCTTGGAGCCGAGTTATGAATTTTCGTCGCAAACTCCGCCCACTTTGGTCAAGCCCGCCCACCATTGACAGCTGGCCTCCACTCCTCCACCCACCTCCATCCACCTTTTCCCGGCCTCCGGGACTTCTTGGAGCCGAGTTATGAATTTTCGTCGCAAACTCCGCCCACTTTTTTCCCGTGTTTGCGCACTTCCTTTTGGCTGTACATTTCGAACTGAAGGGCGCGGAGATTTTGTCGCAGTGGATCATTGTTTCACAATGGAAAAATGGTGGATATGGCAAGGGCATCGATTGTGGGTAAGAAAATCCTACTGTACATATCTAATCAGCTAAGTGTGTCTGTTGGTGTGTGTGTCTTTGTGTGTGTTTGAACGGAAATTCATAGCGCGGGTCACAGCAACAGTAGCGCCATAGTTCTTACTTATGATATAGGGGTGATAGCGACGCAAATGATGAAGGAAAGAAACTGATAACGGTTGATAAGAGCTGATAAGTGATGCTAGAAAACAACTGTCGCCAATTTCGTTTCGTCTTTGATATTGGCACCAGAGCATCCATGCTTACATGTGTTATGAGGCTGAGACGGGAGATTGCCGGTGGGCGATTGGAAGTGATTGCAACTGATAAGGGCTGATAAGGCGCGTCAGAACGCAAAACCATCAATCCGTTACGCAGCTTGCGTCGACACTAGAGCGTTCATACTGACAATTGTTATGTGGGGTTGGACGGGACCTGTGAATAATATACGCCATAGGTCAAGAAGCCAAGCAACAAAGTGTAGGCGGAATGCTAAGATATCAAAGGGGGTATAACCAAACATTAACTTGTCTAGTGAAAACATTCATTACGGCCTATTACTGGATCAATAGTATACGAATAGAGAGGTTATCCGTTGAAGATTACGCAATGAAAAACGCCTGCTTCGAGACTAATTCACAATTTCTGTTCGCCGATAACAGTGCAATTCGAACAGTGAAGAAACAAGTTTGACATCGAGAGTGTAGGCTGATGTTAGGCCCTCAAAGCACCCATACCCTTACAACAGTAAGAAGTGAGGGAAGGAGTACCTCAGTCATTAGAATTGATATGCCATAAGTTTCCCTATTTCATGGAATCCATTATGTGGTGCGCGCAGTAGTGCGCACCAGCGGATACGAAAATAAAATCTCTTAGCACAGAGGAGAAGATTGAATAATTTATTCTCTGTATTACACGGAAAATCCTCTGTGAATTCAGAACCATATAAAACGAGCCCCGTTCATAATAGTTTTTCAGTGCATGTAATTTGTACTACCGCAAGAACAAACGCCCAAGGCCTCTCTCGTTATGCAAAGAGACGATCTCAAAACGCAACAGAAAACCCGTTGTTGATCGTCAGACGAGTTCTTAAAGCTTAATGTAGTGTAGGATGTCTTTGTTGATTCATTTGGGTAAATGAGACACATGATTTCAGTTGTATTCATAGCGTTTTTGCCTCCCCAAATTGAAAGGTTAAGGTTTTGCTTCGTAATAAAACATTTGTGCTTCTCCTTTGAATTCCATTCACAACTTTTGTACTTATCAACACTTCTCAATTACGGACGTTGCACACCACCGGAATTGCAAGAGGCCGACACTGCATGCTCAAGAACGAGGGCCAGCACACACACTCAAATCGTTTTGAAAAATTTTGTAACCTCCCGCTGTCAACCACAGTGACCAGGACTGTGAGGTTGAAGTATTATTCCTTAATCACTTGAAGCAATAACCTGAGATCGAATCAGTGAGGTAACAGCGATTGATAATGGCGAGGAGAGGACGTGTCTCGACATGTTTACGATATTACGCGATACTCGTGGGCCACTCTAACCCTCTTATATTATTAAATTCTTTAACAGGATGTCCTCTGGGGCTGTTGCGTTAGTGGACTCTTTTTTTGATTTTGTTTTATTTTTTGCTACCCCTCTAATTTACATAGTCTACATTGTACCAACACATACAAGATACAAGTAGCAGCTCTCTATCCCTTCTACTTTACCAGTTTCGCTCCGCTCGCTATCGCGCGCATATCAAAGCAGGCTTTAGTGGAACTGAGCACAGCCGAGCTCTTGTACATGTATTAGGCAATCATGCATCATGTACGTGTATTAGGCAATTCATTGCATTCTGTCATAGCTTTTGATTGATGTGATTAACCAAAGGTTTCTATAGTGCTGGTGATAGAGCAGTCATTTCCCCTATCTCTTCAATACCATAAACATCTGTCATTTTCGGAAACTGACATTTTCTAGCGGCCGAATAAGCTTTGGATAACTAACACAACTACTTGGACTGCTTACTGTTAGCCATTAGCGTAAACAAGCTACCATGGTTCGGATGCTGGGAAGGTTGAGCGGTTGAATTAACTTCTGGTGGCGATGATATT